GGAGGAGATATCTTTGGGGCCTGGGACACCTAGCAGTGGGGAGCCTGCTGGTGAGATTTGGTACAACCCCATCCCTGAAGAAGACCCCAGACCACCAGCACCTTCGCCCTTGGGATCAAAGCCACCCTCCACTGATCCAGAAGGCTCAGTCATTCAAGGTAGTTGCAAAGTGTTTTATACTCACACCTCAGACCAGGTGTGCCCAAGTCTCATACCCAGCCTCCTAAGGACCACAAGCATCATACCCCTGGTCCTGGCCCCTGAGATTTACTCTCCCTACAGGTGCAGTCCCTACCAGCCCCCCTACCAAAACCTCCCGTACCAAGTCCCCTGGCCCTGCCAGGCGCCTCTCTATGAAGATGAAGAAGCTGCCAGAGTTGCGGCGCCGCCTGAGCCTAAGAGGTACCCGCACTGGCCGGGAACGAGAGAGAACCGCCCCAGCAGGCTCTGTCATCAGCCGTTACCACCTGGACAGCAGTGTAGGGACTTCTGGGCAAGCATCAGTGGCTGGAGGCACTAGGAGCCCAAGGGGTGGGTACCTCAGCGATGGTGATTCCCCGGAGCGTCCTGGGGGACCCCCATCACCGACTGCCTTCCGGCCCTATGAGGTTGGCCCATCAGCTCGGGCGCCTCCAGCTGCACTCTGGGGGCGTCTCAGCCTGCACCTGTATGGGCTGGGGGGTCTGCGGCCAACTCCGGGGGCCACTCCTCGAGATCTCTGCTGCCTTCTCCAAGTGGATGGGGTAGCTCAGGCTCGAACAGGGCCACTTCGAGGAGGACCCGACTTCCTGAGGCTTGACCACACCTTCCACTTGGAGCTGGAGGCTGCTCGGCTGTTGCGGGCCCTGGTACTTGCATGGGACCCTGGTGTGAGGCGGCACCGGCCCTGTGCCCAGGGCACTGTGTTACTGCCAACCATTTTTCGAGGTAAGACATGGGACTTCCAAGAAGGAAAAGCAAGACACAAGACCGAGCTCGGGGCATCCTGTTCTCCCACAGCACCCAGGGTCGGAGTGGGGGAGACTAAGCTTCACAAGTGAGAGGTGGCCTATATGAGGGGAGCCAGACAGGACACAAGAACCTTTGAGACAAAACTGGCTCAGTCCTTCTTGTGTCTTTAGGGTGCCAGGCCCAACAATTGGCCGTTCGTCTGGAGCCCCAGGGACTTCTTTATGCCAAGCTAACACTGTCGGAACAGCAAGAAGCCCCTGCCACAGTGGAGCCCCGTGTCTTTGGGCTCCCTCTGCACCTCCTGGTAGAACGTGAACAGTCCCCAGGCCAGGTGCCGCTCATCATCCAAAAGTGTGTGGGGCAGATCGAATGCCGAGGGCTGCGGGTGAGGCCCTGTACCCACCCCTGCTATCTTAGACCTACTCGCGGGAACCCCTTCACCAGCCTGATGGCCAACAAATGTCAAACTGTAGTTGGGAGGGTAGTTAAGAAAGGAGGTAGCCTAGCATGTTGGCACATACTCTAGCATTAGAAACGCTAAAGCAAAATGGAGAATCCAAGGGCAGCTGAGAAACACAGTGAGACTCTCAAAACAAAACTCCGAAAGGGGGAGGGGTCTGAACAGTTTAAAGCTTGCCTTGACTTGCTTGAGTTAGTCCTGGAAGATGCGAACTGTGAAGTCGGAGGAAGTGGTCCACATTGAGGTGTTATATGTCTGGGGTTTTGTTTTCTGACTGGTACTGGAGGGTTGAAGCTCATACATGCCCGGCAAACACCCTCCTATTGAGCTGTTCTCCCAGCCACAGATTTCACCAAGGAGCCAGACTGGCTTTGAACACACTCTATAGCCTATAGCCCAGGTAATCCTTCCACCTTGGCCTCAGAATACTGAATTACTACCAGGCCTGGCTCAGGGGCACTTGTGACAGTTGTTATAGAATTGGAAGGCAGCCAGTGAAGATGCATATGGATGGCCCCACCCTCTCAGGCCAAAACAGCCACTGTCATCCTTGTCCAGACATCCAGCCCCAACCCGACAGTTCTTGATGCCCGTAGCTACAGGAAGTCATCCTTGCTCTGTCTGTATTCCCAGGTAGTGGGGCTGTACCGTCTGTGTGGCTCAGCTGCAGTGAAGAAAGAGCTTCGGGATGCCTTTGAGCAGGACAGTGCGGCTGTGTGCCTCTCTGAAGATGTATACCCCGATATCAATGTCATCACAGGTCAGCATAGCCCCTCTCCCCTGCCTGCTCATTCCCTCCAATTCTTACCTCCAGGCCAGCCCGAAGGCCCCAGTAAAACCTCCTCCCTCCTGTCTGATCTTGTTTTCATTTCTTATACCCGCCCTCTTCACACTACTGTCAGCCCAATGACCCCTCTGGCTTCAGAAGCACGGGTGCTTTAATCAGAGGGAACTCTTTCTCTGTCTACAGGCATCCTCAAGGATTATCTTCGGGAGCTGCCTACTCCACTCATCACCCAGCCTCTGTATCAGGTGGTGCTGGAGGCCATGGCCCAAGGACACCCAGGCAGGGCTTCCCTGGGTCCTGAGGGCACCAGAGGGCTCCTCAGCTGCCTGCCAGATGTGGAAAGAGTAAGTTGGCCCTGCTGGGAAGACTGGGACATAGAGCAGGTGACAACAGTGAAGTATTTTAACCATGCCTGAGATGTAAGACTCACACAGGACAGTTATGTCCCAACAAAGTACATGTTCATCTCATAATTCCTGGGTTAGGGAATCAAGACTCGGTTTAGTGATTTGCCCAATGTCAAACAGCCATTCTTGGCAGACATAGTGTTATATGTCTCTGTTCCTAGCACTCAAAAGTCAAAGGCAAGAGGATTTCAAGTTGGAGGCTAGCCTTAGCTACATAGCTAGTTCCAAGGCAGCCTCGGCTGTGTAGCAAACAGAGAAAACAGGTCTTTCTACGTAACACAAGGGAAATTCCTGGCTTTGGGATCTCAGAAGAGTCCTTGAAACTGTGCTTCTGTTCATCTATAAAATAAAATCCATGCTAATATTGCCTAACATGGAGTGGGTTAGAGTTCAAGCCCTTCCATTCCAAAGCTAAAATTGCCCTTGGCCTTAATTTGAACTTCAGCAAAATACATTGCTAAACACTAACACCTCCTTATGGCTATGAGAACTTGAACGGAAGTTTCTCCACTCTAAGCCACCCCTAAGTGTCCCTAAGTACAACGGGCTCAGGTTTGCCCGGCTTGTGCACACTCTGGCAACCCTCTCCACAGGCCACACTGACGCTTCTCCTGGACCACCTGCGCCTCGTTTCCTCCTTCCACACCCACAACCGCATGACCCCGCAGAACTTGGCAGTGTGCTTCGGCCCGGTGCTGCTGCCAGCGAGACAGACCCCCGCTCGACCGCGGCTCCGTAGCTCAGGCCCAGGCGTCTCCAGCGCCGTGGACTTCAAGCGCCACATCGAAGTCCTGCATTACCTACTACAGTCTTGGCCAGGTGAACACCCGCCCATCCTTGTCAGCCTCCCTGACGTTGTATTTATTTCCCTACTGGCCAATCATTGGCCGGAATCCAAGGAAAGCCACACCCATTGGGGGGGGCTAAATTTGTAAGCTTGCCTCTTAGAAGGCCAATCGGGGGCCTAGGTGCCACTTCCGTGCACCACATCTCATAGCTGTCCCTGTGAACCCCGCAGATACCCGTCGGCCCCCAGAGGCCCCGGACGTCGCTCCTTATTTGCGGCCCAAGCGACAGCCGCCGCTGCACTTGCCACTGGCAGGCCCTGAAGTAGTGACTCGGCCCCGAGGTCGCGGAGGCCCCGAAAGTCCCCCAAGCAACCGCTATGCGGGAGACTGGACAGTGTGTGGAAGAGACTTACTACCGCGTGGGCGGGACTTCCTGTCCGGGCCTGACTATGACCACGTGACAGGCAGTGACAGTGAGGAAGATGATGATGAGACCGGAGAGCAGAGGGGCACCACTGACTTTGAAGATGAGTTTGATGCACCCTTCAACCCACACCTGAATCTCAAAGACTTTGATGCCCTCATCCTGGATCTGGAGAGAGAACTCTCCAAGCAGATCAATGTGTGTCTCTGAGCCCTCGAAGCAGGTGCTGGACTCTGGTTAATAAGGAATTAATTCCTGGTTGCTAAGGACCAGGCTCTGGTTATTGGTGACTGGGTCCCAACTCGCTAAGGCAGTGAGTTCCCTGACTACCTAAAAGGACCTGACCAGAGTTACTCAGGCTGAGCTCCTGGTTGCTAAGGAGTTGCCAAGGGACCAGTCTCCTGTGCTAAGAATCATTCCCAGCTTCTAGTGCCATTGTTTGGGCCCTAGCTGCGAAGATCAGGCTCTTGGCATTCTAAGCACTGATGCCATGGCCCCTCTCCTGAGCACCCAGGGCTTCTCTTTGCTGTCAGAGACAGTACTGCTTGCTAGGCTGGCCTCTCTTGCCTCCCCTTTGTCGGGGAACACCAATTACTGTGAGCATCACCCTGGGGTATTGAGACATCCCTAGTCAACCCCCTTGCTGCTGCCAACCAAACCAGTATTAGCATTGAGCACTACACTCTGTCTCCCCCTCCATTGAAGTATCTAAGGACAATCATGAGATTCTGCCAGATTTGGCCTCCATCTGTGAAAGGGCAGCTTGGGATTTTCCCCAACCCTCTCTTCTGGGGAAGACCCCCAAGATGAACCTCCAACCAGCAAATGGAGACAGTCTGACCCTTCCTTTCCCCAGAAGCCCATTCCCACCCCTGAAAAACTGAGCACTTAACCCCTCCCCTTTGGAGGGGCCCCACCTGAGGTATCAGGCTGGGGGCACTTTTGGTACGGAAAATATTTATTGTTTCCATGCATGTGTGTGTCTGTGTGAGGACTCGTGTGCACTGGCCTGTCTGGAGTGGGCATGTGGAACTCTTTCAGGGACCATAGAGGGGACAGCGTTTGCCATTCCCAGGTGCCCCCAGTCCCCAGTGATCAAATGGGAGAAGTAGGTCCCCTTGTGGTCTCGCGCTTCTTTCCACTCCTTCCATCTTTGTGGACAATAAATAAACCAGTATACACGTTATGTGACTGAGTCCTTGGGCTCATGCAGCCAAGAGGTTTATTCAGTCTGTAAGAGGGAGAAAGGTATACAGCTGGGCTATGGAGTGAGCTGCCACTTGGGTGCCTCTTTAGAGCTTTGATCTCTTCATTCCCTGATCGGAAGGTTGTACAGTTGTTGGACCTTGTGAGACTGAGCTCAGAGAGGATGAGGAGGAAACTAGACAGGCTGGGCATAGTCCAAGGAGAGAGGCAAGCACACGAACCCACACATAGGCCCTATACAGAAATGGAGCCATCTCTGAAATCTGTCCTCCCGATCAGGATGTTGACCACGACTGCATGGCCCGCCTGGCACAGCTGCTGGCCTTCATGAAGTACTTTGACTACTTGATCCTCATTGTCTCGTGACAGCATCAATCCCTGGGCCCCCAGGCCTATGGCTGCCTTGTGATAATCTAAAAGAAAATAAGTCAAGACAGTAGCCGAGGGCCCACCAAGGAGAATAACAGAAGCCCAACTGGGCCTAGAAAATTCTGATCCCTTACCAGTGTAAGCCAGGCCACAGGCTATGTCACTGCCCAACCTGGGCACCTGTTCCCGGGAAATCTGGGTCCAACCTGCATCATTTCCTATCAAGGCCATTACTGGTATCTAGGGAAAAAAAAAAAAAAAAAAGCCATGCAACAGCCATCAGTCCAAAGGTCTGTCCAGCCACAAGACAGGGCCTGTGACCCACTGAGGAAATGCCCTCCACCCCTTAACATCCCCCCATTGACATATCCCAGAATCCTGGGCATAAGCTTCCCTCAGGGCAACCCAGTCACCTTGTGTCTGACGAACGTGTCAAACTCGATGAGGCTGTAGCCAAAGGCTCCATCCCCAAACAGGCACCAGACCTGGTAAGGGGGGACCCAGGGCAGTTAGGGTAGTTCACAGCCAAGAAAGCAGCTAGTCTCCCACATCAAATGCCTCACCTCGGCATCCGGCTGACACAGCTTAGCCCCAAGTGCAAAACCTGCACCAACTCCCAGAGTCCCAAAGGCTCCTAGGAAGATAAGAGCAAATTGCTGTGAAGGTTTCATGCAGTGCAAGCCGCCTCAGGTGTGGGCCTTTCCTTACCAGGATCAAGCCAGCGCAGGGGCCCTCGGGGCTGTACCAAATAGGCGGCAGTGGCCACAAAGTCCCCACCATCAACCACAAGGAGAGCATTGTCAGGCAGCATTTCCTCCACCTGCTGTAACACCCATACTGGGTTCAGGTGCTGAGATACAGGCATTCCAGCCTTGTCCCTGCAACAGAACAGTGGAAGTCAATACAGCTGGCTGGCAACAGCCCCCTCCACTCGTTACACTTGCCATGTCCACTCTACCCAGACTGACCGATAAGTTTGCTCTTTCTGCTGGTCAGCTTTCCGAAGCTCCTCACCCCAATCTGAGGCCCACATCTGGCCCTGAAGGCCTTCCACCAGCTTGAGTATGAAGGAACCCACATCTCCTAGAAAAGGAAGAAAGCACAGCTGTAGGACCAGCTGCAGGGCGGCAGCTTCCTCCTGTCCTTCCAGCACCAGAGAGCCAAATATAACAAGAAGCCAACAGCAGCATCTTGGAGAAAAGCGGGAAAATGGACCAGAGGTGTTTAGGACAAAGCCGGTAATAAAGTGCTCCAAGAGCCTTTAAGAACTGGCAAGGGTGTCTTGGCAAGATGGAAGGCAAGACCTTGGAAATGAGATGTAAGGAAGTTGCAAACTAAGCTGGCCTTGTTATCTCCCTGCCCCTCATACCCAAGAGGTACAAAATCCTGTGAAGTCTGCCTCCAAAATATGTTACCCGAAGCACATGGGTGCTCACACAAGCACTGGATGGGTGATGGCATTTGTTCACACCATCTCTCTCGAGAAATGAGCAGACATGCATTCAGAGATGTGGCTTCTCACCTAGCCTGTCCCCATACCAATGGTCATGTAATTTGTCCTGCCTCCAAACCCAGCCTATTACATTTGTAATACCAGGAACCAAACCCAGGGTCTACAGCATCCCAGGTAAACACTCCAGCACTTTAAAAAAAAAAAAAAAAGTGTTACATTATTTACTTACTGTGTATGTATATTGGGGAATGAGGAAGCAACATTGAGAGTGTGGAGGTCTTTCTTTCTACTGTGTGGGTTGTGGGGCTCAAATTCAGGGCATCAGGTTGGCAGTAAGTGCCTTTACCTTCTTAACAGCTTGTCAGTCCTATTTTGGTGGAGATTTCTTATTTCCTTGTTTATTTTGCTTTGCTTTTTTGTTTTTTTGTTTGTTGTGGGTTTTTTGTTTGTTTGTTTGTTTGTTTGGGGGGGTTGTTTCTTTTGGTTTTTCGAGACAGGGTTTCTCTGTGTAGCTTTGGAGCCTGTCCTGGAACTCATTCTTGTAGATCAGGTTGGTCTTGAACTCACAGAGATCCGCCCTCTGAGTTCAAGTCCAGCCTGATCTACATAGTAAGTTCCAAGACAGCAGAGCTACATAGTAAGACCTGTTTCCAAACAAACAAACAAAACCCAAGTGTGCACTACCATGTGTGACCTTATTTTGAGATAGGTCTTGCTAAGTAGTTACACAGGTCTCAACTCCCTCCCACCAAGCAGCTGGAATCACAGGCATGCAGAATCATCCCCAGATTGTGCAGCTCCTTTTTCAGTGCCTCCCTGCCTCAGCATGCCCACTTCTGCCTGCTCCTCACCAACTTCTGGGAGGGAACTTGCCCAACACAGGGTGACACCAATTCTCTGGCTAAATCCAAAGGATTCTGTTGCTTATGCTACAGGACAGGCTGTGTCCTTAGAACAGTGGGCAAGAATATGGCATGGGAACGGGGCAAAAATCAGGAGGGTTATTAGAGTAACAGAGAGGGTCAGCTGAAAGCTCAGGAGTTGATCATATGCAAAACCTCCCTCTGCACCCACCCTCCCTCTGTTCCTTCAGAAATACCCATCAGTCTCAAGCCAGATGTGCTTCAGGTTGCCCAAGTGTCCTCTGGTGCAGGGTCCAGACCTGACATTCAGTTCAAGCCAGCTCCAAGACAAGCAAGATGAAAACAGGCCATGCACATGGTGGGGACTCTTGAGGTATGCTTACCCTGCACCGCCTCCTGGGGCTTCCAGAAGACATCTGAGTTGAGCAACATATCATCCCGATTCCGATTGACAATGATGATTTTGCTCTTGCGGTTAAGGACACGACCATATGACAGGCGGAAATCACACACGGCTCCTGGGATGATAGGCATGGCATCAGTGGACACTATCTCACTCCTGTGGCACACCGAATGTACAACAGTTCCCATTCCTCACTGCCCCTACATCTGTGCAGCTTGCAGGGACCCACAGCTGTTTACATTTACTGGGGCAGGGTGCAGAGAGTTACACACACCATGACAAAAGACAACTTGCGGCGGTGGGTTTTCTCCAGAAATCAAACTCAGGTTATCAGGCTTAGCAACAAGCACTTTTACCCACTAAGCCATCTAGCCAGTATGACTTGGCAGTTCTTGATTCTGGGCAGGCCTTTTGAATGGCTCTGATCAAGAAACTATGGCAAAAGCAACAGTATGCCACAGTGAGACAAGGGTTCAAGAGGTCATGAGGGTTGAGGATCCCTGAGGAGTGGTGTGAGGGGCACAGGTGGAGACTCAATTACCCAACCTGAGACCTAGATCAGCCACTGAAAAGACCTCCCACTCCTCACCGTCCCTTGGCTCATGTATGAGCCCAGCCAATCAGAGAATTCCTACCTAACCTGCTGGTGAGACATGGTTACTTATAGGTTACCATTATAGTGCATGGTAACCCAATCAATGTTTCAGTCAGTGACAGGTCACACACACAACTATGGTCTTGTGAATGACAATGGCCCAATAGTTTCCCAGCCATCTATTGAACTGTGTGTGCACACTCAAAATCCACACAAGGAAACCACTCAGTGACACATTTCCCTGAATGCATTCTGTCACCAAGCAGTACAGAGCAAGACCCAACAGGGTATACCTGTCCCATGACTGATGGGATACAAAATCGTTTGTGTAAGACATATCAAGTGCCCACAGCATATGCTTCCTCTGGGGGGAAGCCAGGTCACAGCACAAAGCTGCAGCCTGGGGTAAGTTTGCTGACTTGTGTATCCAGGCTTGTTCAAAGGCCTTTAGAAGGGAAAGGGGTAGGTGCAGAGGAAGAAGTCTAGGCGTTGGGTGCCAAATATGGGTGTGGGAATCAAGATTACTAGACTCTGTACAGGTGAGATGAAGTTTATTCTGGGAAAATGTACTTACTCAGGAAACAGATTAACTGCCATGGGTTCCTGCTCCAAGGACGCCAACCCTGCCACCCAGATGCTCTTTGCAACTGGGGCAGGAAGCAAGAGAGAGCTCCGAGCCACAAACCTAATCCTTATCATCAATCACTCTGTACCTGTGACCATGCCCAAATGGGCGTGGTCAGCACTACAGGTGCAGGGGGTGGGGGATATCTCACTACAATCATGATGGAAGAGTGCTAGAGATGAGGATGGGCAAGGTTGGAGACAAAAGGAAGGCTAAGAGCCTGAGCCCACCTGCAAGGACAACAACATCTGCCTTCTTCAGCGCAGCACTGCGGTTCTGCCGGATGTGGAGAGGGTGGTTGCGGCCCAGCAGCCCCCGAGACATCCCCCCTAGGAAGCAGGGGACACCTAGGGTCTCCACAGCAGCCCTGAGGGCACCCAGGTAGAGCAGATATTAGTATGACCAAGGCCACTGGAACACCAGGGACCAAGACCATGCTTCTAAGACAGGGTGGGAACTCCTCACCTAAGCTTGGTGGCAGGGGTTGGAGGCAGCAGGGCCTGGCTCCCAAGCACCAGCAGGGGTCTCTTGGCCCGGCTCAGGATCTCCACACAGCGCTGGATCTGGGTGACAGGTAGAGGTCAAAGGGCTGTCCCACAGTCTGCCAGGACAGCCAACAGGTCATAGCACTTGCCTGGAAAGCCTGAGTTGAGTCCCCAGATCTCATGTGGAGAAAATCAACTCCACAAAGTTGTACTCTGATCTCCACATGCAAGCAGTGGTACATACACACAATGCACAAACACACATCGGTTGCTTTAAAAAATTTAAAGGGCCATCTTGGGGTCCCCACCAGCCCACAAGTTTTAGGCCCCAGCACTGGCCCAGAGAGAAGATCTGGAAGGCCTTTGCCAAGTAGGAGTCTTAAGCCAGGAAAGAGTTGACTCACCTGCTGGGGAGACGCCTGGGGAATGTTCAAGGGCAGAGGCCCCTCAGGACGAGGCTCCCAAGCCCCAACAAAAAGGTTGGTCAGGCAGTTCTGCAAGTACCTGTGAGAACATGGAGGAACCAGTTACCAAGGTTAATACAGGATTCTGGAGGCTGAGGTAAGCAAGGGGCCAGGAAAGGAATAGGGGAGGATAAATCATGACACAGGGACTCTAGATGGCCGTGTCACCAGCTGCTTATTTGTCCCTTCAGGTAGTCACCCTAATCTGACACAGCCCTCAGACCTGTAACAAGAGCAGAGAATGCCAGCACAGAAATGAGCTGTGGGTTAGACCCTGCCTCCACAGTATTCCAGCTATGTGACTTGGGCCAGTTCCTTCACCATTTTGAGCTTCCTCCTCTGTAAAATGGGAAGGTTTCTATAGCTGCCCTCTTAGGTTATGAAGTATGTTGTGGTCTGGGAGTGTGGCTCAATGGTAAATCCCTTGCCTAATGTATGTGAAGCCTTATGTTCCATCTCCAGCACCACCAAAAGGGAAGGAGGTAAACACTTTGCGAAATGCATGGGAGTTATTGTCACTCACTCACTTCTTACAGCGCCTCTTTGCCTTCCAACTAATTGGGCCCCAGGCTATGAGTTTCTAAGGCCCTGTGACACAAAAAGAAATCCTGCTTAGGCCTTGCCCTCAAGGAACACTCCATCTCACTAAGGACAAACACATGCGTCTGCAGGAAGCACTCAGAGTGCAGAGCCAAAGCCTGCCTTGTCTGCTAGAGCCAAGGCTACAAGGGGTGAAGATGAGGCCAAGAATATGGGAAGCCATGGGGACACAGTTTAAAAAGGAAAGACAATCCAGCAACAGAGGTACTGCAGCAAGAAGGCTGACACCCCTGAGAGCCAGCGTGGACCACAAAGCTAACTCCTCCATCTCATAAAAACCAATTCAAATACATAAAAAGGGGAGGCAGGGAAAGAGCCAGCCTTTCAGGGGACACCGAGAAAGGACAGGGAGAGAAGATGACAAGATGACTGGGAGGCCGGGGAGCCTGAAGAACGAGACTACTGACAGGCACAGAGCACTAGTCTGTGATCCCAGCATTCAGGAGGCTGAGAGGGGAGGATTTTCAGGTTATTAAACAGCCTGAGCTACACAGAGCTCTGGGCCAGAATGAGTTACATAGCAAGCAACAGCAACAACATTACTTTTGCTTGATCTGGTCCTCAAAGCAATTCTCACACACCAGAGCACAGGAACCTGAATGTCTTGTCCAATGATGACATCCAATGCCTATCCTGTTATCTTGCACAGAGATCTGGCCCACTATGTATCTGGGAGAGGAGGGGCAGGAACAAGCAAAGGATGAAGACAGAGAAGCTCAAGAATGAGGAGGTGACGGAGGTGGAGAAACAGGAGACAGAAAGGGCACAAAAGGAAAATCTCACAGCCTGTGCCTGCCCCTCTCTTCCTGGTCACAGAGGCCATGCCTTGCTCTCCCAAACCTACTAAGGTCCCTCCTGCCTCAGGACCTTTACACAGGCCCTGTTTTTATATGGAATTTCTCCCCACCACTGGCTCCTCTGAGTTCAAGTGTACTCAATGAATGAGTCCAAGAAGGAGGGGTGCATGTGGAGGGAAGACCACAAAAGAGGCAGAAGATGGAAGAGGTGTATAGTGGCGGTGGCAGTACTCACCAGAAGACAACTCTACCCATGAGGCCCTTGGGCAACTTGGCTGGAACCATCTCCTTCTCGACCATGAAGTAGGGGTACAGCACGTCAAGAGGCAGCTCCACAAACACGGGACCTGTGTGGATAGGAAGACTTCAGGCCTGTGGCACCTGCTGCGGCAACTGCTGGACCTCAGGGCATTATTACTGCTGAGCCCCCTCCTCCACCTACCTGGGGTGCCTGACTGGGCAGCAGCCATCGCAGCCCTCAGCGTAGGTACAATGTCTCGTACTGTCCGCACAGAAGCGCAAAACTTGCAGAGCGGCCTGAACAGAGACATCTGATCAATGGCCTGGAGTGCTCCCCGTTTCTGGCAGAGAAGTGGTGGGACAGTTATCAGGCAAGTTTAAGAAGCTTTCCTGGGGACCCTGCCCACCCTTAAGGACTAGGCACCTGCAGCAGGGTGCTGGCAGCCCCACCCAGGAGCAGGACCGGGGACTGCGCCACCTGAGCATTCTTCACTGCAGTCACTGTGTTGGTGAGACCAGGGCCAGCTGTCACTGCAGCCACGCCCACTGTCCCTGGAATACAGAGTTGATGACAACGATGCCACCCTTCCAGCCATCACCCTATCTCCACCCCCTGCCTCTCATTCACAGGTCCCATATCACTGTCCTGCCAGCCCCCAGTCTCTCTCTACAGCACCCTTACCAGTCAGGCGGGCCACAGCATCAGCAGCAAACACAGCAGTGACCTCATGTCGTGTGTCTACCACACGGATGCCCAGCTTCTCACAGGCCACCAGCAGTGGGGAAATGTGCCCACCAACCAGTGTGAAGACAAAGCGTACACCATGGGCCCTGAGCACAGCCGCCACACTCTCCCCACCATGCCGGGTGCTTGTCTTGTCCACCTGGGCCAGGGGAGATGAGGAACAAGACAGTCACAGGCCAGCCCAGGAGCAGAGACGGAGACCAGAGAACTTAGATGTTGGTTAGAGACATACCACACAATACCCAATATTCAGAGCAGAGCACACTGTCTTAGCAAATCTTACCATTGTCCTTTCCCTAAAGCTAAGGACATCAAAACTTGCTCAAGTGATAGAGTCTGACAGATTCCACGTTCTTTTTGCAACAGCACTGGGGATTGAACCCAAGGCATAGACCATGTTAAACATGTTAGAGCTGCATCATTAGTCTTTTTACTTTTTAGTTTGAAACAAGGCCTCACTAGGCTTCCCAGAATGCCTTTGAACCCCTTGTGTAGCCTAAGCAGAGCTTGAACCTGTGATCATCTTTTCCCAGCCTACCAAGTAGCAGACTAACATAGGGCCTATGTTCAGGGTTAAGTGCCTGGGTAGATGTTACTGCCTGCTCCAGAGGTACTCAGCCAGTGAGGAGGAAAGGAAGGCAGATCTACAGAACCTGGGAGAGCTTGGCAAGAGGAGAAGGTCCGAGCTTGACCTCCTGCCTGCTTTTTTTTCTGGTAACCCTGCAGAGCCCCACACCTGGAGTGCTAATTCCAGCCTAGTGCCTCCCTCTCTGCTCATGAGGCTCATGTCCAGTTGACAGGCTGCCAGCAGCCACATGCCTAGCACGGAAGTGCTTCCTGGCACAGACTGCCCTGAGCATCCAAGCTTCAGCAGCCTCACAGCTTCCAATGGCCACACACCTCAAGGTCAGTGTCAGCTCTACTGCAAGAGAAAGGGCTGGGTTGGGGGCAAGAACTTCTCAAATAGAACAAATGGTTTAGAGAATGACTTTTGGGTTCAGCTCTTTCCAAATTGGTCATCTAGAACAAATACTAAAGTTTTCTGTGGATCAGTTTCCTCTTGTGGGCACAAGGGCAGACAAGATAACTATTTTGGTGAAGGTGATAAGAGGTATGTTAAGAAGGCCCCTCCTTCAGAAGAACTTTGAACCTTTTGTGTAACCTAGTATCAGAGTTCAGCCCTCCCCTGCCTACCTTCAGCCCACCAATCCCATTATGCTTAAAAAGCCTGTTCTGTTAAAATTATTCAGGCCCCTGAGGTAGGCGGAATGTGTGCTGTCCAGACAGCCAGTTTCCCCGTTTTCTCGTACTAGATAAAGTTCAGGGCCCATATACTATGTGGCAAAGGTACAAGGCTCTGTAAAGAATCTCCCAACCTCTCTGGACTAGTTGGGGCTCGCTTTCTCCACCTGCACCTTCGATGAACTGGAGGAGCGCCTTCAGTCCCCTCCTCCTAACCCCTAGCCCTCCTCCTGCCCTAAGCACCTTGTGCATCAGCTGATAGAAGAGCCCCAGTCTGTGAGCGGTGCCCAGCACAGCAGCCACGAGTGTCCCAAACGCCAGGAGCAGGAACGAGGGGAAGAAACCCCCGGCAGGTGCGGCGGCCGCGGGAGTCTCCATGAGGTGGAACCTAAGTAAGAAAGCGCACAGCCAGAACCTGAGCACTATAATCTAATCCGGAAGCAAGATCGTCCGTCCCATCCTGAACCACGCCCCCGACCTGCCACGCCACGCCCATAGACGCATCTAGTCTGGGTTGAGGCCACGCCCCTAGAGAGGCAAATTCCGCCCCATGACGTCACCACCTCCAATCTAAAGTATGCCCGCTCAGGCCAAGGCGATCGCAGCAGCACAGACACAGAGTTGTGGTCCCTACTTACTACTTATTAGTAAACCCGTGGGGATCCCCGCCCTCCTCATCACAGCACTCGGCCTCAGCGAAGAGCCCGCCCACGCTTACTTCATGGAGCCGTAAGGCCACACCCCCACCGCATCGCGCAGCCCAGGACACGCCCCCACCTAATTCTTGACCTTTGGCCTTCGGCCGAGGTCACCACACTGCAGTAGGTAGCTCCGCCAACTCCACTAAACACACATCCCCTGCCCGCCAGGCCCTATGACCTTTGCCTATAGGAAACGTCACTGACTCCAGAGGAACTAAGACACCTCTGGGTCACGTGATTCGGGCGCGCGCGATGATGCCCCTTTCGCCCATTTGGTTCAGCAGCACTCCGTAGTCCAGAGAGACGCGCGTGCGCCCCAGTGTAGTCTCGCTGGAAGAATCACCCCGTAAGAGCCGGTTATCATTGGTCGCTTCTCTCCCCTCGTTTCCAATTGGCTGACTGCTCCCCCACCCCTACCCCCCCACACACACACACACACTCAAGCACAGTCCCGGACCATCGGCCTGGCCCTGCCTGATCCATAATAGCTTTGCATGATGTTTACAGAAATCCCTAGTATTTGACGCCAGCCTCATTCGGCCACCCAGATATCCAGCATCTTTTATACACTACGATCTCCCCCACAAGTCCCTTTCCTCTTTTTCTTCTGTGACTTAACGAGTTTAATCAAGGCCATCTGTGTGACCAGCATCTCCTGGAGCCTGGGCTTATCAATGGATATTTAACAAGAAACAAAGTAAAACTGCATGTGTTGGCACATGCCTTTAATTCCACCACTCCAAAGGCAGAGACAGGCGGATCTCTGAGTTCCTGCATGCGTGTGTAAATACACAAACACACCTAGACCAGTGTGGTCTACATAGCAAGTTCCAGGACAGGCAGGACTGCATAGGGACCAAGCAAAAATCATAATTGCATTGACTGTGTCACGTCCACTCGATAGGATTCCATAGCCCTTTCCCCCATCTTTTTTGGTTCTTCCATTATTTTTTTCAGGGTTCTCAGGCCTTTGCAGACCATGGCATGAACACCCTGTCTAGAGCTTAGCGTTCAGCCATCCCTTATCAGCAACCATAGGCTCTGTTTTTACCCGTTTATTGCAAAGAAAACTTCTCCAATTAAAGCTGAGAGCAGCATTTGTCTACAAGTATAAAGAGCTATCCATCAATTTCCAAGGTTTCCCTCTAAGAATTCTTCCTTATGGAGAAATTATCTTACCATCTTCTTGGTCATCCTTATATTCAAATGTTAGCAGTTTCAGACCTGTGACAAACAGTTGACATGACTAACATATCAACGGACCTGGCTGTCGTCATCCCTCAGTCCCTACCTGTTACAGGGTTAAGGCTGGCATACTCCACCCTCTACCCTGAACTCTTCAGCCCAGGGGCTGAGCTGCCCGTCCCCCAGAGGCTCTTTCCTATAAAATCCAGACATTTTGGTTACCCAACCCTTTTTGTACTTTTGGTCTCCTGGCTGCTGTACCTGGTTCCTCTGTCTCCTGCTTAGTCTGGTCATGTCCACTCTGGACTGTCCCAGATAATCCCTGCCTCTGGCTATACTGTCCCAAATAGCTACAATAAACTTTCTCCTCTACCAAACCTGGGAGCAGTCCTTTCCTTTTCATTTCTTACTTTCTTTTTTTTTTTTTTTTTCCTTCATTATCCATCATTTTAAAAACCGTTTTCAGAGCTGGAAGTATAGTTCAAAGATACAATATTTGCCTAGCACAGGCAAAGCCATGGTTACAATCCCCTCCCCCAGACACTTACACACAAAAGCTACAAAACTATTTTTAGCCAAATTACCCTATGAATTATTTATGACTGTGAGCATGTGTCTCCTTTAGGGTTTTTATTGCTGTGAAGAGACAGCATAACCACAGAAACTCTTATAAAGCAAACATTTAGTTGGGGTGGCTCTCTTAGAGTCTCAGAGGTTCAGTTCATTGTATCATCATGATTGGGAGCATGGTGGGGTGCAGGCAGACATGGGGCTGGAGTAGTAGATGAGAGTCCTACATCCTACAGGCAAATGGAAGTTGACTGAGTGTCACACTGAGCAAAGTTGAAGCAAAAGAGACCTCAAAGCCCACTCCCAGTGCCACACTTCCTCCAACAAGGCTACACCTACTCCAACAAAGCCACACCTCCCAATAACCTACTCCTTATGGTGGCCAATTACATTCAAACTATCATAACATGCCTTCAATATCCTCTTGAACCAAACAAAGCAGGGTCTTCCCTGCCACTCTATAAGAGTGTTTGGGATTATTCTCTCTCTAAATTGGTCCTTCTCCCTTCTGTCTTAATTCCACTCTCCTTCTAGGTGCAGCATAGGAAGCCACTCCTCTCTGTTTAGAGAGCCTTTAACTGAAAGGATTGGCTGCATACTTCCTGAAAGGAATTTCTAGGTTCAGTTACTTTCTGGAGCCAATAAGAAGACAGTATTTGGGCGGATAATGCAGTTCAATGGCAAGACCCTTGCTTCTCAAGATTGAGGCCCTGAGTTCCATCTCCAGTAAAACACACACACACACACACACACACACACACACACACACACACACACGGGGGGGGGCACTAGTAGTTACTGTGTCAACTTACTATGCCCACAGCCTTTCCAGGCACATACTAGTTACTTAGTTTCCCTTTGAGGGTTCTTAGTCTCATTAACGAGTTAAGATTGACTCAAAAGGAAGCCCAAGGATAATTTTATTAAGCACTGAAGAGAAAAAAAAAAAAAAAAAACAGCAGAGGCAAGCTAAAAAAAAAATCCTGGCAGGAGAGGTGCCAAAAGTCATGTCTTTTAAGCCGGTCATAGAGGTAAGAGAAATAGGGAGAAAGGCCAGAGTGTTGGGCAACACATGCCTAGGAGTGCTAAGTCCTGAACTTGAGCTCCAACTTTTATGTCCTCAGGCAAAAAGGAGGCAGATTATAAAGAAAGAAAAAGAGCACTGCCAAAAGTGGGATTTGGACCGAGAGCTGAGGAAAGAGCCCCAACATCAGGCTCAAGAAATATGGCCCTTTAGAGTCCTTGCCATTCCAGTTTGTACGTCATAGGCTTTTCTCAAGAACATTCTATTAAAACAGACCCAAGTAAATAAAGGCCTCTGGTCTCTCTCTTTCTTCCTTGCTTCTTTTCTTTTTCCGTTTTCATATGTTGTCAGGGGCCATGAGAAATCCAGCAGGATAAATAATATGCAACAGGTGGAGCCACCACATGCATGGTAAGGGAGCTCCACCTGGCAAGGCCATGGAGTCACTTCATCTCCTCCCTAAGGATAGCTTTGGGTGACTCCCACTGCTTCAGTGTGTTTGTCTCATGAAAACATTCCATCTACTAGGTACATATGTCTGTACCTAGTGGAAGTCAAGAGGATGACTTCATTTGGCTGTATACTCTTGATATATAGAATAACTGGGTGCTTTGTATTCTTACAAAAGGCCCCCAGAGAAAGGAATTTCTTCTCACTCTGCAATGGTAAGATCACCCCACTGCTTACCCTCAGGCTGAAAGCAGCAACATCAGGACCTCACACTACATAACTTTAGCTTTTCCCTTTGATATAGCACTAAGAAGTTCCCTTTAATCAGCTAACATTTGGTGAAAATGCTAATGCAGATCAAATGCTTTCCTTCCACAGTTTATGCAGGTTGCCATGGCCACTGTAATGCTGTGTTCCCAGCTGCTGTGAAAGCAAAAGCCAGTGCATCTCTTCCCCTCTTCTCATATATATATATATATATATATATATATATATATATATATATATGAAACTTCTAGCTTAACTAACCATACAAATGTAGTTTTACATACTAAAACCCCATCTCCCATCTTAGAAATCATAGCCCCTTAAACCTCACCACCTCTTAAACTGTGCCGGGACATTTTACAAATCATGTCCCCTCTGAAACTTAAGGTGCTTACTTTGTCAGATCATATCTGTTTTCTTGCCCTTAAGAAATGCATACCTGGTACCCTTGCTATTGCCAGAGAATTGCTAATTGTGTCTGTGTGGGTATATAAACTGGAAACCTAGTGGGATCTGACAGAACTGGAAAGATTTTTTTTAAATTTATTTGTTTAAATTTCATTTTACATTCCAACTACAGTTCTCCCTCCCATCCCTCCTCCTGTCCCCCTTTACCTTCCCCCAGCCCATCCCCAGTCCACTTCTCTTCATGGGTAAGGGCTTCCATGAGGAGTCAACAAAATCTGGCACAAGAGATGGGGGCAAGGCCAAGCCCTCTCCCATGCATCATGTCTGAGCATGGCATCTCACCATAGGAAATGGGCTCCAACAAGCCAGATCATGTACCAGATTTGTACCATGGTCCCACTATCAGGGACCCCTCAAGCTTCACAACTGTCTTCCACATACAGAGGACCTAGTTCAGTCCCCTGGAGTCTCTGTTGGTCTAGAGTTCATAAGTTTCCACTAGCTTGGTTCAGCTGTCTCAGCAGATTTTTCCATCATAATCTTGACCTCCCTTGCTCATACATTCCATCCTCCCTCAGTTCAACTGGATTATCAGAGCTCAGCTTGATGCTTGGTTGTGTATCTCTGCATCTGGTTCCATCAATTACTAGATGAAGGCTCTATGATGACAGTTGGTATATTCACCAATCTGATAAAAAGGAGAAGGCCAGTTCAGGCATCCTCTCCATTATTGCTATGAGTCTTAGCTGGGTTCATCCTTGTGGATTCTTGGGAATTTGCCTGGTACCAAGTTTCTTCCTAACTAACTCCATGGTGACTCTCTTGATATATCTCTTTCACTGCTCTTCCCACTGCATCTCTCCCCCAATGACTCTCTTGTTCCCTCATATTCTCATCCCTACTCCCCTCTCCATTACCACCTTCCCCCTAGTTTACCCACTAGGTCTAATTTCCCTTCCCAGGTCAATCCACATGTCCCTCTTAGGGTTCTCCTTCTTACCTAGCTTCTCTGGAGCTATGGATTGCAAGCTCATTATCCTTTACTTTACATCCAATATCCACTTATAGGGGGATGCATACTCTGTTTGTCCTTCTGAGTCTGAGTTACCTCACTCAGGATGTTTTTTTTTTTTTTTTTTTTTTTTTTTTTTTTTTTTTTTTTTTTTTTTTTCCTAGTTGGGAAGAACTTCACTGTGAAAATGACACTCAAATGTACTAATTCATTCACCCTCAGACTCTTTTAGTCATCCCCACCCACTTGCTGTTTAACTTCTGGCCTGAACCCTGAGGAAATCCTGAGGCTGGAACTTGGAGGTTCTCAATTATATGTGTGTGGTGTGCATGTGGGGGTGCACATTCATATG